AAGAAGGGGAGAGGGCTCTCAACACACAGCCGGGAATCACTAATGTCTTTAGGTGTTGTCTGCTTTCCCATGTGCCCCTTTGAATCCTTTTGCTCCTTCCGCTACCTCTCTGGGCTTTCTTCCTCCTACATCTCCGGACTTCTTTGTAGTCTTTTTCCAACTGCAATAGTTTCTCTTATTATGAGGGTGTATCTCACAGTGAAGAAGATCAGCATGTCTGCTTTGGGTACAAAGCTGTGTGATGACTGGGTCGCAACGTTTACAGTTAAAACAGGGTTTATTTAGAACCATATTATTTGAAGAAGGAACTCGTGAATGTTGAGTTTACAAACTATAATTAGAAGTTCTCACTACCGGTTCCTTCTACTGGCATCTTTGAATCACATGTTTGGCCCGATCATCATTCCAGAATTAAATTGTATTCATTTCATGATTATATGAAATGGAGAAAAGTAGAAATACTGACGGCAACAAATCACAATTTTCATTATCAATACAAAATAAAAATCATATTTTTATAGACATGATATTTAAATGATTATAAACTAGAGACAACTAGAAAATAAATTGAGAATCTAGAACAAAAAGTGTGCACTCAAAGATTGAATTAAAACTGGAACTGACACATTTGTCCATTGATCAACTTATCAATTGATCAACTGATGATTTTACATTTACCACAATTTAGAACAACTAACTACACAATTATTGTTGATTATTATTATTTCCAATTATCATTCCTTGACTAATCGATTCAGCATTAGAGGTCTTAGTCTTGCAGTGATTCTCTATCATTCTTTGTAAAGTGAAATCCTGAAAGCAATTCTACCTCTTGATGATATACTCACACACCTATCTGATTTGTGTTTAATGTATTTCAATGTCCTCAAAGTTATTTGAAGGCCTTAAACATGTCTTGGTTTTGAAAAAGCGATGGATTTCAGGCACAGTGGTCTACATTTTGCATTTTAAAACAAGATGTTCTGTAATCTCTTGGAAGAATCGCTGCCCGTCTCCCTGTCCCAGTCTCATTTACAGTGAATAAACAGGCAAATCTGATTGAAGATTTACGGTCGAACCGTGAGAAGCCTGACAAATTACCAACCAACACAAACCTCTCTGCCACGAGGAGAGTCACTGTGGGATGTGTTGTTTGCATACCAAGACATCACACCCATACTAATAGCATTTGTTCTATTGTATGGCGAGGGACTAGGAGCTAGAGAGCGGGATTAGCCCGCTTTTTGCTTCATTTAGTGTGTGTGCAGCTGCTAAGATGGCTCCTGACCCTGAGCAGCCAGGAGTCAAGTGTTAACGCTATTAGGATTTCATCATTTATTTGATGTAGATTTGCGCCGGCGGCTATATTTCAGATTGGGTTTTTGTATTTGATGTCACAACACAGTAGACTGCTTAGAATGTCAAGTTGCAGCATTGCGATAACTTCACGTTTTAATTACAAATGTGTCCCTTCAAATAAATGATTGCACATCTAATCAGAGCGGCCCGGTCACATTCTCTGTGTGTTCAAATCTTAATCAGCCTGACATGTAAATACGCTTTTTCGTGTTTTATTCACCACATTACTTCTTGAATGCGAGCAAGAGATTCACCATAAGTCTCAAATAATGAATGATCAAGATCCAGCGTTGCTGCAGCAGGAGTTCAGCATCTGAAGGAGGTGGTGTTTGAACGTGTGGGAGGTTTATAAAGCTGCAGCCAGCGAAGGCTCCGAGATGAAACTCATTAAGTCTCAAACTCCAATCCTCTACTCCAATAAGAATTTAATATAAAAAGTATGGATTGCTGCTGCAACTGTATGAGATAAAGAAAAGATCTCACTCTGAAATGTATGCCCATCGCACAACACATATTATATGCACACACACACACACACACACACACACACACACACACACACACACACACACACACACACACACACACACACACACACACACACACACACACACACACACACACACACACACACACACACACACACACACACTGACCCAATGCGAGCGGGCAGCACACTGACTTCTACTTCTACACACCCCCACAGTTCACTCCCACGCTAATTGAATTTGCATTTACAATCATTTCCCATACGCAGTTCTTGTCTAAAGGTGGGCGTTTTGTAATAATAATAAAGTAAATAAAAAAAGTAAGTCATATAACCTTAGAAGAGAGACACTCAATAAGTTCACATGGTAGAGGAGAGAATACCATGAACATGAAGTAGCCAGGAGAGGGGACTGCAAGTTGAGTTCTGTTGTAAGAGGATACTGGGTATTAACCCCATAGCACCTGGATAAGTAAGTAGCACAAGAGGCCTATGTAGAGTTGGCTCTAAAGGCTCAATTCTTCGCACCAGAGGTGAAGTTAAAGGGTAGACAAATAGATCAGGAGTTTTTCATTTTGATCCCTTACAACTAAAGTGTTCAGCTGCTTAATGCATCTAGCCTGTTACCTTAGGCAAGACGCTGAAACAAAAGTTCTCCTAAAGGTTCGATTCATCCAGATTGTAATAACAAAAACATTTTCTTACTTTTATTTTATTTTAGTTTTGTATAGGTTCTTCATAGATATCAAAGATGTAAAACAAAAAACGTTATACGAATAGTTGAACCCTGAAATAGTTGTTACAAAAACTGTTCATGACAAGGTCAGCAGATTGCCAAGAGTACAATAGACAATATGAAGGCTTCTCAATACTCCAATTCCCCTCCTCGACTCCTATCCTCGTGTCTTAGTCCCGCCCACAGGAGATGCGAGCGGAGGAGTCGAGGAGGGGAACCGAGGAGAGAGGAGGGGAAGCAGCAGGCAGTTAGAGAAATGAGAACTCCTCTCCTCTGAGCGGTCATTTTAAATTGACGTCCATTAATGATGACAGGAGGCACAGCAGCCCTCTGTCTGATGGACAGATGTGTTCATGACCACTTATATATTTACTTTTAATTCATTCACAGTGCGGTATAATGAGACAATAACAGGCTACAGATGCGGACATACACACACACACACACACATATATTATATAACATTTCAGAATCAAACAAGTATGAGAGCACTCTCATAATAACGTTCAGAGACTGGATATATCCCCCCCTCTCTCTGGTCGCTGAAATGGGGAATTTAAATTACGGGCCAAAAGTTGTATTTACAAGTATTAAAAGTAAGCAGAGGACACCAAACCAACTGAGACCCGTCTGTCCGCCGCATCTACGCACTGTACAACACACACACACCTACACACTGTACCACACACACACACACACACACACACCAGACTGTACCCCACACACACCTACGCACTGTACAACACACACACACCTACAGCTCCTAAAGCATATAATAGGCTATATATCAGGATACAGCCGTTGTGTATTTTATTATGTGAAGCACTAAATGGTCTCTAAAAATATGGACTCTTTGTTTGTAGTTATTTACTAAACTAAAGCAAATAAAGAGAGTAGGCCTGTTATACTGAGTGATATATATTTTACACACTGCTCTGCTTTCTGCACGGACCTCACAGCTGTTCTCTCTGGAAACATCGCGTCGCGATGAAAGCAGTTTCTAAAATAATATCCAGGGAATGCATGCAGAGCTGTCATTGGCTGAGATAAGTCCGGCTGTGTGTCACGCCTGAAAATGCATCCGCGGAGGAGCCGTGGAGGACCCATCAGTGTATCCTCGGTTATAGCTCCTCCAGAGAGCCTCCTTGATGCTCGATGCTCGGGCATCGGGAGAAATTAGATGTCCTTCAACATGGCGCGCTGAAATCCATTTCCGGGTCACTACCGGAGGACCGAGGAGGAGAAATTAGAGTATTGAGAAGCCTTCTATGTCTGGAAACAGATTTCTCTGATAGATTTTCTTCCGTTTGAATGCAAGGTTTTGTCTAGCACAAATACATATTTTGGTCTAAAATGTCAACGTTCAGTTTTTCTCACACGTTTTTTTTTATCCTTGATGTCTTATAGGTTTAGTACATCTCCGTCGGGGACCCCGAAAAAAGTATATATAGTATGTCAAAAAAAATGAGTGAGTTTAATATACTATGTGTACAAATATCAGAAAGAACGTCATATGTCCAAAATATAAAAAAACGGCACAGTATGCTATAGTATGTTGCAAAATATGCAAAACCAACATAGTAGAAATATCAGAAAAAACATAGTATAGTATGTCGAAAATAAAATAAAAACTAGCTTGTATAGTACTTTATATATACAGTCTATGGTACAGTAACATAAATGTATGAACCAACAACATAGTATAGGAGTTTCCCAAAAAGGTCAATATGTTGTCATTTGACATTTGTTCGAATAAAACAAGGTTGTGTAGAATGGCAAACAATTCTAAAAAAACATATGTAAGTTTAAACAATTGTCTAAGTTTAAAATGGTTAACATTCATAACTTCAACAATCTCTCTAACATTTGAGGCTTTTCCTAAAAAAATGTCAAACCTCAGATATAAGATTACAATTACTCAGATAAACTCTCGGTTTTCACTAAATGACTCGATTAACTGAGATAGCACTTACAATATACTTCCATACATCAGCCTTATTTACACCACCTTGCGTTGAAAGGCGAGTGAGGAAGAGGAGCTCCTTCTGGTCGATGAAGTTTAGCATCACAGTCAGTCAGGTTTCAGTTTATGTGTGATTGCAACGTGTGTGTATACCTGAGAGGAGAAGACGACAATAAAGCACCAGAATCATGTTTTAATCAGTCTAGGCATGTTATTATACACTGCTGTAAAAGTAGATAAATGATCAGATATGTGACATCTTAAGAATAATGTCATGCAAATATACTTAACCTTAAACAAGAATACTTATACTTAATTAACCTTACTTATACTTAGACTACGAAAAGGAAACTTAACAAAACTGAAACTACCTTGTCTTTTTTTTAAACCCTCAAATATTGGCAGTATCAGTATATCAAATGTAGAGAGACATAGAAGACAAGGAGAAAAACATGTTTTTGTATTGGAAATGTTTTAATAGTTTCAATATTGCAACAGCCATCCGATTTTCTTCTAACAGGTAAAAATCATCAAAAAACTAACAAATAAAACGTTTTTTTTTCAATTTTATATTCCAAACACCTTTTCTTGGCTATGGCCCTAGACTCAACAAATAAAACCCTTACACAGTGAGCAGATATTATATTCAACACATTGTTTCTCAAACAAATTATAAAAATAGATTTAGCATTTTCAAGTACATATTTACAGTATTAAACATATATCATAATGGTCACAGTAACAGAGAGGGACAGAGGGGAAGTTTCATTCATTGTGTTGAAGAGGTCCAGTTTGTGTGAAAGCAACTGTGTGTGTGTGTGTGTGTGTGGAGTCTTTTGTGTGTGTCAAAGGGACCATTGGTGTGTTATGTGTGTGATTCCGTCTATAAAGGACACATGAGTTTATTTCATTTGACAAAACGGATACAGAGAAAGTAGCGTACAAGGAGGAAAAACTCATTTTGTTCCAAATACAAACCAGTTACAATATTTCAGTCAGAAATGAATGTACCTTTTTATTGTGAAAACCTATGATAATGCCCCAATAAACGTCCTCGCTCAAGTCTCCTGTATTGAAACAAAAAAGGTGAGATTGCTGTACAGGGAGAATTCTGGGAGTTATCTGGGGAAAAAGTGCAACCACGTAGCATGGCAGAGCCAGATATTAACAGCAACGCAAAATTAAACATGATAATCTAACATTTACATAGAGAAAAAAAGTCCATATGACATTCCTTAATACTGTATTCATACTGCAACACACACACTGTCATGTATACAGCAAATCCAAAGATAATGGACCTCAACTTCAACCGTACCAGCTCCAGTGTTCAAGAATACACAGATACTGTGTGCCCACAGTACAAATCCTCCAGTGTACAAAACTACTCATTTATTCAGTTATAAACTCAGCAGTAAAATAAAAAAAACAAGAACACAACTGCTTTATTTTTTAAAATACTATAAGTTAAATAACCCTTCTCAAACTCTTCTTTAAAGAGGTTTGTGGTACAGTCTGTAAACATAAATAAATATGGATAAATATCTGAATCTGGCCATCTTCCAGAGTTAGCCCGTGCTCTATACAGAGTAGTGAGGGGGATCATGGAGTAGACATCCAGCAGGGGAAAGGGAGAATTAGTTTTAAATGCACAAAGTAAACAACTGGAAAGAAGAGAAATATAAAAGAAACTATGACAGCGACGCACAACAAATTAATGAACAATCAAACACACATTTTCAACCTTTACAATTGTATCCTGCAGCTTTTGTTCGACCATCAGTAGCCCCAAGGGAAACGTTCCTAACGTCTGCACACGTTATATACTGAATATAAGACTAATTTACTGTAGGCTTTCATTTAGGCCTCATCTAACCTCACTCTCACTGGATCCTTGACATGGGACAGCACAGTCTTCTTAAGCTACTGCAGCCATGTTGGATCATCAGAAATGTTCCTCTAACATCTGATGAAATACGCTCTGACGTACAACGATATGATTCTGTATCAGAGCAACTCATCCCAGGCAAAGGAAATAGTCCCTGGGTGTGGCCACATACTGTTTTTATTCAATCAATGTGTTAAAGGGAAATTCTACCCTTATATTTTTCCTTTAAGCACTAGTCCGACAGCTTGGAGGTCAGCTTCAGACAGAGAGCGTCCTGCTCAGACAATATTTAATCTGCCTTTACGCACTGATCCAGAACCAGTGTGATGGAGCTGACATAGTTATTGAAGTGCAGATAGAGGTCACAGAAAAAAAAAGTCAGTGACATCAATCCTCTGCTATCCCCCCAACGGCGACAGGAACTCGTCTCTGAGAGGTTACAAAAAAATAAGGAAGAAAGGAATCAAGGAAGGCATGAGGATGTGTGGGAAGGAGGAGTAGATAGAGTGCAGCTAGCTGAAAGATCTGCTCATCTTTCCTTCTGTCTGGAAGAGCGACCTCTCTTTCTCTCCTCTTCTCCACCCCATCATCCGTCTGCACACACGAGGGTCTGCAGGTTGAGAGCAGGCGCCCCCCCGTTAGTTAGACCTGCACCCCGCGCCCATGCATCTGGATGACCTGCGCTCTGAGGGTCTGGATGGCGGCCAGTATCAGCTTCTGGTGCTCAAGGGAAGTGATGCCAAGACTCAGCACATCTCTGAGGACACACATCGAGACATTAGTACAAATAAATAACTTTATTCGACTGGATGACATCAGGAAAATATGTATCTGATATTAATGTATCCCCTGAGAAATCGGTTTTATCTTATATATTTCTCAATAACATTAAATCCCAACTACTTTTCTTTAGTAAAATAACACAACCCTATATGCATTAAGGATATATGTTTTGTAAGTGTGAGACCTTAATGCAAGAAGCTAAAAACCTTTTTTCTTGTGTATTTAAGAGTAACTTAATACCAGCATAGTAACAATGTTTGTTTTTAGAAATGATAATTTCTTAAAGCCCAAGGTGAACTTATAAAATGTGTATTACATAAGACAAAAAAGCAGCAAATCTGCACAATTAAAAAAGAAAGAATATTTAATGTATTCATGCAGTTATCTTTCTACAGATCTGTTCTCATATTATCTCTCTGAGACCCCCCTCTCTTAAACAGGAAATGAAAGAGTCATTGAGACAGTAGTCACTCACTGGACGGTCATCCGGGCCACAGACTCCAGGTAGCAGTACCCTGCGGCGGTGAAGTTGTCCTTGTATCGGCCCATGTCCACTGCGTCCAGCCACTCCCCCACAGAGTTGAATGCTGGGAAGGAGTGCAGCGGCCTCTCTGCCAGCGTGATGGAGGAACTCAGGGTTCTGGAGGAGAAGACATGTATTGTTGATTGGGAAGATAAGAAAACCGACTGTACCTTTACTACAAATATTTTTAAAGAGAAAATATAGTGACTTTCTTTTACCACACCTTACTGATATTCTAAACAGATTTCTATTTATACTTTAGTTTTTTGTTCCTTGATTTATTATGATACCTTTTATTGACTTTTTGTGGCATACTAAGCTGATATTTTTTATGGAAATCTATAGTATAACATTTAATTGATATGTGGACATTTATTAATAAAACAATCCTGGCATAATAATATGACTTTAAAAACTATAATCTTTTGGGATTTTTAAGAACAACTATGGCATTCTATATCATACATTTTAGTGACTTCTTCTCCAATCAGATTGTAGCCCAATCATCAAAAGCATTTAAAAGTATAAGTATATTTGAGCCAGCATCAATTGATCATTGGTATTGGGTAAGAAAAATAAGATCCCGCAATCAATCAGCTACTTTTTTGGCAGTAAGCACAGACAGATGTGAGTGCACCAGTACCTGCGTGACAACGTGGAGGAGCCGATGCCATCGGGGGAGCGAATGCTCTTGCTGAGGGCTGAGTGGATCTGGCTGAAGCTGGGCCTCTCCGTCCTCTCCTTCTGCCAGCAGTCCAGCATCAGCTGGTGGAGGTGGGGGGGGCAGTTTACTGGAGCGGGCAGCCTGAAACCATCCTCGATCGCCTTGATCACCTACAGCACATGCAGAAAGAAAAAAATATATATATATGAGTTATGAACATTTGGGAGTAGATTTGCATGTGTGTGATTGGTTAGTGAGAAAGGGGGATGTTTTGTCCTACTTCAAAAAGACAGTAAGGTATTTAAACCTTTTTATATTCGTTAACTGTGACTTAGTTGCCAAGAATGGAAGTCTTTTGAAAGTAGAGGTCCTACTCTAAGTAGAAAAGTGCTGGTGTTTTCATTTTCTTGTCACTAATTACCCCACCCGCGCTAATAGAGGCAGCATCCTTTAAGGTCACTTTGCAAATCGGCAGCATATGCAAAATAAACAGATTTCAGCAGAGAGATATTGCTGACCTCAACAATATGAGCTGAAAACAAATCTGCTGTTATGTCCCGACTTAAACTACAACAAAAACTAGAACCACAAAGGGAATACAAAGCTATAAAGAGAATAAAGGTGTGAGCCAAAACTGAACAATGCTAAATTCAACATGGCTGACTGACTGTGTGGAATTAAAGCTCAGGATATTCGATGTCTTAGTGTCACTTGACAGGATATTTGATGGGGTATTACAATAGAATGCATCCTATCGAGATGATTTTCATTTCCTTTAATATAATATGTTGCAGCTATGAATACAATTAAATAAGGAAACATTACAGATGAAACAAATAGACCACCTGAGCCCCTCTAAAAGATAAGCTATGACATCCAATGAGTCCTTTTTTCATCAAGCCTTGTGAAACCTCACTGTGTTCAAATAGCAGAGCATGAACGCATCTCTCCAGACTCCCTCAATGTTCATCGCTCCTCCATCAAACTAATGTTGTCCCCATTCAAAATCCATTCACGAGAGATTTCCTCTAAGAATAGGACATGAGACACGTCCTTCTCCTGTATCACTCAAAGAAACACAATCTCCTGAAAGCAGGAAATAGTAGCATAATCACAAAAATGACATCCATCAGCGGCATTAGTTCCTAAAACACTCTTTCTTCTCTCTCCGCCCCCCCCACGCTCCTCTCAGCCCTTTAAGCTCCTATCTCACTAAAGAGCATTCAGAAAATGCTTTTCAGAATGTTACATTTTCCATTTAATCAAAGCGGGGAGGTAAAGGGCACGATGGATCACAGGTGGACAGCCGAGCAACAATTCCCTCATGATATAATGTATCAATTTAAAGTGGACTAATGTGCCTGCCGCTCTACAAGCTTGACCTTTGCCCTCTCAATTGGCAAGTTTGATAATATGAACCAGGCTAAGAGCAAACTTCCTCCTGCTTTGTGAAAAGGCAGCATGGGAATCTATTCTCGTGCCTTCTTAATAACTCATGCATATTCATTTTGGACAGTCGAAAATGGAACAAGTTAATAATGTGTTGCTTTTTAAGTATGACATAATGGCCTTTTATGCAGATCAGCATCACTCATTCACCTCCCCTTTAGAAGCATGGCTTCCTTCAAAAAGTGAAATAAAAACAACCTATTTTTTTGAAGGAAAAAATAGGAGTTACAACCAATTGACTTGTAAATTGTAGGTTTGTGGTGACAAGCAGTGGTGTCCTGTTGCCTGGACAATCTCTTCAACCCTCAAAAAGAAATCACTCTACACTTCCTGAAAGAGGAATTTTTCCAAAAGGATTTTGAAGACTTTTAAGAGCGGGATGGCACTCTAGGACAGGCGGAGGGCCACTAGAAGGGGGTCAATGCGTCCTTAAGAGAAAACAGGATTGGTCATGGAGCTGATGCAGACTTAAAGAGGGGGACTTAGGCATGGCCAAAGCTTTCAGAGGTACTGTGGCTTTCTTTTAATAAGATCCAAGCAGGGCACGGATACAGAGTTCATTGATAGAGGGAGGTGAAAGAGAGAGGGGGAGTGGTGAAGTGCAGATAATAATAAAAAAATGGAATATAAAGGACATGACAGGGGAGCTTAATAAAAAGCACCCTCCTATCTCTAAGCTTTCCTCCCCCACACACACACTTACGTCCTGGTTGCCCATATCCCAGTAGGGTCTCTCTCCATAGGACATGACCTCCCACATGACGATGCCGAAGCTCCACACGTCCGAGGCGGAGGAGAAGCGGTGGTACTGGATGGCCTCTGGAGCGGTCCACAGCACCACGCTCTTACCTCCGTGCTGCGGGGGGGGGAGAAGAGAGAAGCGCGGAGGAAAAGGGTGTGGAGAGTTCGTAGAAGTAAAGCTTTAATATTCTCTTTGAACAGCTTTGAACATATTTTCAGTAGATCCAAATAATTGTTAGAGGTTCACCTTGAGTGGAACCCAAAAATATCCAGGGAAATAAAAGTCCTGGAATATATATTTTTTTCATCTGAAAGCTATGAACTCAACTCAACCTGACATGACGTGTTAACTCATTTAAAAGTACACCGGTACATGTGTGAACTTTTTACCTTCTTAGTCATTAATAGGGAAAGTAGAATGTCAAATAAAACGTCCTGGCTGCACGTGTTTGCCTTACCAGTGAGGTGTAGATGGCCTCTATCTTGTCGTCCTGCAGAGGTCTGAAGCCAGACACCTTGCAGCCCAGGCTGGAGTTAACCAGCACCTGCGAGTGGGAAAACAAACTCATTAGCATTGGTTACATTTAGAGAGGAAACAAACCCAGTGTGAACTCACGACACCCTGGTGGGCAAAGCTTTTATCGAACCAGGTTTACAAATTGATTGTTTACAAAAACAAAAGTGCCCTGTTTTTCCCGCAACGTGCCCACAGTTTGATAGACGGAATGAAATCTCAATATGACAAACAAGATTTCGACAGTATTGGTAGTTTCTAGGGATGCAACGATATATTGCGGTAAATAAATGTCTCAATACCGTCGTGAGACTGACAAAATCTACCGCGATATTAAAAAAAACATTTTTTTAAATAATTCTTTTTTTTTATTTAACCAGATGGTCCCATTGAGATCATTGATCTCTGTTTCAAGGGAGACCTGTCCAACATGGCAGCAAGTAGGTTACTACATGAACATAAAACAACAGATAACAATAAAGGACATCGTATTTACAGGGCTACATGTACATACCTAGAGACATTGACAAGTACCAACAGTATATTTATATCTCACCCTGTCAATAAGCCTCACCTTCTTGGCAAAAACTGTATTGTTTTTGAAGTGGTGGAGAGACAATGCACAGATTTCTTCTATTGCAGGGTCTGATTATTATATTGTTGACACTTTAAAATACTACTATCCTACTAAAATGCTGTACAAATTAGATTTATTATTTAATAAAATATTATATATATATATAAATATAATAAAAAAATTCACATTTTTTTTCTTTATTTTTCAATATCGCGATAAATATCGTACCGTGGACTTTTTAAATCGCGATATTATCGTACCGTGAGTTTTTGGTATCGTTACATCCCTAGTAGTTTCAGGTTCACGAATCAGGTGAGTGATGTTTGCAGCTTCCTTTGAAAAATGTTCAAAAGCCTTGCAAAAATCACCCTGCTGTTCTCCTCCCTCCTGCTTTACCTTGTGTGCGGCCAGCCGTTTGTGAATGAAGCCCATTTCGGTGAGGTACTTCATCCCCGATGCCACGCCGGTCAGCATATCCATCAGCTGCATTACACTCATCTGGCCCTCATGTTTCTGGGGTTACGCGGAGATGGAAATAGGGGGAAAATAAGGTAGGAGGTGAAATGAAAGCGAAATGAAAGAAAAGAAGGAGAACATAAGTTGATTGTATCTTGTATTTATGTAGTGATCCAAATAAGGGGTTACATCTGCTACAATAGTACAATGTTGTGCTCACTGAGCTGAATCCCTATATTTGGAGAATAAAAAACAAACAAGCCATTAATTCGTATCATTATAAACCCTGCCACAGTGGTTCACAGAGCAGAGAGGCACGGTAACAGTTCACAGAGGCTTACAGCATATTTAAGCAGAAACATCCATTTGTGCTGTTAATTATGGTGCGTTTCCTTTATTACTGTAATAAGCATGAGTACTGCTGCCCTAGGACTGCGTAATAATAGAGGATTTAGGATCATTAGAACAAAATGCCTTGTTTGTGAAACGGCTGTGAAACACGATAATGATGAGGCTATACTTTGCTAATACACATGGAGCGTTTAGGATACGCTGGACATTTTGTACAAAAAACTCACCCTGAGGAAGGAATCTAAGGATCCGTTGGTCATGCTCTCCACAATGATCATCATGGTGTTACCTGGAGAAAGACAAAGAGAGCATAGAATTGAAAGATCTCCTATCATGCTATTTTTAGGCATATATTATGGGGATATATATTATCCATTTGGTTATGGAGGAAAATAGAGGGTTTTGTTTTCTGACACTTTGTGAGTTCCCTGACACACCGGGGACATATTTATGTATAAAAGACATCAAAAAGTACAATTTGCATGATAGGAGACCTTGAAATGAGTTAAATAAAAGGTACATATTGCGAGAATCAAGGGAAGAAGAGAAAGTGAGAGACGTAATAGAGACAGCGATACACAGAGGGGGAGGGCGGGGGGGAATGGAGTGAGTCTGGTCCACTTGGCAGCACGGCAGGCATTGTGCAAAGCCATTCCTCACCCAGTGAACTGTGGTGAAGCCAGGAGAACCTGTGTGCTTCCCTGGCTGTCTCAGCAAGTTTAACGACCCTCAAACACTCACTCACACACAGTGCATATGCACCACACACATGCTCACACACACCCACACACACTTACTGCCCAGGCACAGATGGCAGAGATCCAGCAGTGCTATGAAGTGCACAGAGGAGGAAAATGAGACTGCAGCAGTTGGCGTAGAGAGGGAACCATGAGAGAGGAGGAGTGGATTATGGGAGCTCGCGAGAGAGAGGGAAATCAACCTTCATAGATATGTAAACAACTAAAAATACAAAGACCTAGCTGTGTACAAATGCTTTCAATACCCGTTTGCAGGCGCATAACACAAATGGTAGTTTGGTATTGTGATATCCACAATTCAGGGTTTGCCAGTATTACTGGGCTTTCAGGAGGCTATTTGGAAAGGTTACCAGCGACACGGGGGAACAGTGAGTCAGCACAGACACTGCCATGATACACAGGTCATCGTGTAATTAATGCAAGAGAGGAGGGGTTTCACTGTGTGATTGGTTACAAAGTGCTGAAATTACAGATACATTTAACTACAAACAAATCTTGTTCAAAGGTGGTATTATATGTGATATTTGAACACCTGCTGAAACATTGTATTTGAGAGAGTATACCAGCAATTCAAAAGGAGAAAAACTAATTGTGTGACAGAGTGGAAGGGAGATATATTTCATCATCTATATACAAAGTCATTCACAATTGTCATCGACTGTTATTAATTTTAATGTACTTTACTTGAGTATTTCTGTTATCAGCTTCTTTATACGTACATTCAATGACATTTCAGATATTGTACACTACATTTATCTGCCAGCTGGACTTTTCTGGTTACATTATGTAGCAAGATTTTACATTAAAAGCACATAAAAACCATGGTCATTTATTAATTTATCTTTCTTAATAATTGTAGTTCTTTATTTTATAATTTACAATGGTTATCACTGGATGTATGTTATTAAGGATCTCAGTTCTTATTCCACCACTCCATTCAAACCCTGAAACTGCCTGTAGGAAGGTTGATGGTTAGTCTTGAAGGAAGGAGCATATAGAGGTGAAAAGGAAATAAGGAAGTTCTTCCATGTAAACGGACACACCCATATTGTTTTAATGTTGCCTTGAATTATGGTAAGAGGACAGGATGATTAATGAAGTGGGCCAGGTTTGGTAGAGGGGCTGGAATCGAGTTCGATTGTGGCGGGGGGTAAGTGATGTAAAGCAGGTGATTTATACACACTATGTGTGTGCTGGGTGTGTGTGATTCCATGCCAAGTGAGGAGGCAGGCACGCAGTTTTGTGTGTGTGTCAATGAAAGTAAAAGACAAAATTAGCATATGGGACTGACTTTGAACGTGTGTGAGAGCATGCATTGGAGTGTGTGTGTGTGTGTGTTAGCGCACATGATAGTGGGAGAGATTGGAGTGGATCTCAGTGCCCCGCTGGGTCTCTAGCACCAATTACTGTACCCTGCACATCTGCTGCCATCCTACTGAGCTCAGTGTGTTCGGGCACCTTGCACACACACAAACACACACACACACACACACACACACACACACACACACACACACACACACACACACACACACACACACACACACACACACACACACACACACACACACACACACACACACACACACACACACACACACACACACACCACACACACACACACACACACACACACACACACACACACACACACACACACACACACACACACACACACACACACACACACACACACACACACGCCACGCTGAGCATCACTGCGGCAGTAACAAGAACTTCACAAACTCTTTAAAGCTTCTCCCTTCACCTGCCATTCCCATTCACCTCTACCTCATCTTCTCCGTCTCTCATGTCTCTCCTCCGTTCAAGTTTTTCCCCCTCCTCCCTGTCCCCCCCTCCTGTTTTCGCTCTAGGACCTCAATTGCTATCTGTCAGTGTAAAATGGGCCTTGATGTAGCTCGGCTGCTGCTGCTAGCGTCGGAATGTATCTCGCGTCCTGCTCTCTACTCTTCAACCTCTTCTCCTTTTCCGTTAGTCTGCCCTCTTCACTGTAGGCGTTGACCCCCCCCCCATGCGTGTGATATTGAAGCGGTCGAGTTCGGCTCTTTCCAATCATCTCTCCTTCTCCTGCCTATGCTCCTCTCCCAGTTTTCTTCCCATCTCGCTTCTTAGTTGCCAAAAGTGGTGACCCCCTCTGCACGTGTGATATTGGAATCCAGTTCCATTGTTTACCCCTACAGTCTCCGCTTCCTTTTCCCTTCCTCCGAGACGATGAAGGTGATGAACCCACTTTATGCTACTAGAGATGGTCAAAGTCTTCCATTTCTCCTTGATCCTTGGAGTATTTTCCCCACTTCTATGCTTCTTTTCATCTTCTCCCGCTCACCTTCCTCCCAAACTGCCTTTAACCTCCTGCTTCCTGCTTAACTACATTACATTACATGTTAGACGCTTTTATCCAAAGCGACTTACATACTCAATACTGTGGGCAATCCCCACAGGAGCAATTTGGGGTGAAGTGTCTCAGGGACACAACGACATGCTGACTGCAGTGGGGTTTGAACCTGTGCCCACCTGGTCCGAACACCAACGCACTAATCCACTGCGCCACACACCGCCGAGGGTTGTGATAAACCCTGCCCCCACCCTGCTTACCCGTGGTGATGACGCCCTCCAGCCGGATGATGTTGGCGTGATCAAACTGCCCCAGGATGCCGGCCTCGCTTAAAAAGGAGCGTCGCTGTTTGTCAGAGCAGCCCGCCCTTAACGTCTTTATGGCCACTGGTAGCTCCCTCTTACTGGGCAGCTTCAGGCAGCCGCGACACACCTCCCCAAAGTCACCTGTAGGGGGAGACACACAATCAGAGGTCATGATCCCTGTCGATGGATGAGAAACCAGAGAGAGCGGGGAAAAGAAAAGCAGGGTGATGATATGGAGTAATATCTGTGTAAAGAGGGACGAATAAGAGAGTTACACAGAGCAGGGAATCAGGTTGGAGTAGAATCCAATGGAGAAATACAAGGAGAAGCAGAGAAGATGCAAATGAACAGACGCTGTTGAGGGAGAGAGAGGCATCAAAGATTGGGTAGGGTGCAGGTGAAACAGCAGAGTACAGAGAACACAAACAGGCAAGCTTGATTTTGGCAGATCATTAAGTTGCAAAACAGCTTGAACTGGTTTCTTCGATTTTTCTCATAGCATGTAAAAGGGAAAATGCAAAAAAACTCCAGTTACCTCAAGATTACAGCAGGTGCTAATGGCTCGAATTCTGTTTGCCTGCCTTTTTCTTGCAATGGTTATAAATAATTGCATCACTCTTACTGTGCCACTCATACTTATGATATACGGTTCCCAGCGCAGTGCTCAGGTACAAATGAAAATCATTGTGCACATCACAAGGAATATACTCCGCTTGTAAAACTGATGTAAAATGCCTTCTGTAGCTCTCTAAAGGGCTTTCTAAAGTCTTAAAAAATTACGATATCATTAGAGTGGTCATGAAGCTTATGACATATGCCCTCAGGATGTGGAGTTTGAAAGACGGACATTCACTAGGCAGGGAGGGTCTAAAAAAGGCGTTTGACCCATTCTAAAACATGTTTAACTTGTGATTACTCTGCTTGTGCTTCTTTGAATACTAAATTACAGAAGTACCCATTTTGAGAGCATCTTTAAAGTGTTGTAACAACCCTACTTTGTCCCCGTAAAACAGCCACGTACCTGTGTGCACAATTCTCTCGATCTTGATGCTGGAGTTGTCCAGCTCCTTGGCGAAAGCGTGCACGGCCTGAAGCAGGTCCTCGCAGGTCTCCGGGTCGATGTAGGTCCTCCGTGTTGGGATCTTAACTGAAAACACACAAACATAAGACAAACCTCACCACAAATGGATGTGGAAGTGTACTAGTGAAGCAAAACCTTTCCATTGTCCCACAAATCAACAGGCAGCAACACATCATATACGGTCCACATGCTTGTCTGCACAAAGACATTAAAAGATAAGAGTCTGCGGCCCCAGCAGCAAAATGTCCACATGAGGCACAGAAAAGATAAAAAGGAGCCACAGTCAGATACCATTAAACTGTGTATAATACAAATAAAAACAGATAGCTAACGAAATGTTTTGTTGCCTTGCGGTACCTCAGTTCTGATGTCTGCAGCGCTTTGTGCTACAGTTAGCGGAGAAATTGGTATCTCTGGCTCCTTCAACAAAGAGTTTCTCTCTGTATGATTGTTGAACATTAGAGATGCTGTGTCTGGGAAAAGGCTTGTACTCTTTGATCCAGAGACAACAATCAATACCTCAGTTTTATTATTGATGTTGGAGATTACATTACATTACATTATATTACATTGCATTTAGCTGACGCTTTTATCCAAAGCGACTTACAATAAGTGCGTTCGTCCAACAAAATACAACTTGAAGAAAACAGAATCATATAAGTCCATCAGGCTTCATAGAGCAAAAACATTTCAAGTGCTACTCAACTGGCTTTAGAAAAGCCAGTCCTTTATTAGTATAAAAGTGCTTCGTTAATAGTTCTATCGCTCGAAGTGGAGTCGAAAGAGATGAGTTTTCAGTTTGCGCCGGAAGATGTGCAAGCTATCTGCCGTCCTGATGTCAATGGGGAGCTCATTCCACCATCCTGGAGCCAGGACAGCAAACCCACGTGTTTTCGCCGATGGGAACTTGGGTCCCCCTCGCAGCGAGGGCGCAGCGAGTCGTTTGGCTGATGCAGAGCGTAGTGCACGCGCTGGGGTGTACGGTTTAACCATGTTCTGGATGTACGAAGGGCCAGATCCATTCGCAGCATGGTAAGCAAGTACCAGTGTCTTGAAGTGGATTCTAGCAGTTACCGGAAGCCAGTGAAGGGAGCGGAGGAGCGGAGTGGTGTGGGAGAATTTAGGAAGGTTGAAGACCAGACGAGCCGCTGCATTCTGGATGAGCTGCAGAGGTCGGATGGCACATGCAGGTAGACCAGCCAGGAGGGAGTTGCAGTAGTCTAGGAGTGAGATGACGAGAGCCTGGACCAGAACCTGAGTCGCTTTCTGTGTCAGCTGGGGACGTATCTTCCTGATGTTGTAAAGCGTGTATCTGCAGCAACGGGTTGTAGCAGCAATGTTTGCAGTGAAGGACAGGTTGTTATCTAGGGTCACACCCAGATTCCTTGCAGTCTGAGTCGGAGAAACAACTGAGGTGCCGATGTTGATTGTTAGGTCAAGAGTGGGACAATCTTTTCCCGGAAGGAAGAGCAGCTCAGTCTTGTCAAGGTTGAGTTTGAGGTGATGAGCAGACATCCACTGAGAGATGTCAGCTAGACAAGCAGAGATGCGTGCGACGACCTGGGTCTCTGAGCGGGGAAAGGACAGAATTAATTGGCTGTCATCAGCGTAGCAGTGGTAAGAAAAACCATGCGGGCTAATGACTGATCCGAGCGAGTTTGTGTACAGGGAGAAGAGGAGGGGACCAAGAACAGAGCCCTGAGGGACCCCCGTAGTTAATTGACAAGGGTCGGACTCAGACCCTCTCCAAGTCACCCTGTAGGTACGGTCTTTCAGGTATGAGGTGAGGAGGGAAAGTGCAGAGCCTGAAACTCCAAGTTTTTGGAGAGTGCGAAGGAGGATCTGATGATTCACCGTGTCGAATGCAGCAGACAGGTCCAACAGGATGATGACAGAGGAGAGGGATGCAGTTTTGGCAGTGTGCAGTTCCTCCGTGACAGCAATGAGAGCAGTTTCTGTTTTCTGCCTTGAAACCAGACTGGTGCGGATCCAGAAGGTTGTTCTGATTGAGATAACAGGAGAGTTGTTTAAAGACAGCGCGTTCAAGTGATTTAGACAGGAACGGGAGGAGAGAGACAGGCCTTTATAACATCAGACGGGTTGAGAGTGGGTTTCTTTAGGAGAGGGTTTACTCTTGCCTCCTTGAGACTGTTTGGAAAGTGACCAGAAGTTAGAGAAGTGTTGATGAAATGGGTGAGAAACGGTAGAATATCAGGAGCGATAGTCTGAAGGAGGTTTGAAGGGATAGGGTCCAGAGGACAGGTGGTAGGGCGGGCAGAGGTAATGAGGGTAAGAACCTCACTTGGAGAGAGAGGGGAAAAGGAGGTAAGTGTGTTGGTGGAAGGAGGGTCTGGTGACCCAGCGGTGAGTAAAGGTGAGATAGCACAAAAATGTTTCTGCTATCAAACTCCACAATAACTGTGGGTCTACTTCAAACTAAGGGCGTACTGATTGGTCAAGACGTGCCAATCGTTGACTAATGTGTGTTTTCTATTTGCTTGATAATCCCCCTCTGTTTAAGGCCCTGTCACACTGTCCCGAAATTGACACCCGATGGACACACGAATATGGAATTGTGAATTTCGCACGAAGATGGCCCCGAACCACACATTTACATTACATTTAAGACATACAACTGCAATGAAAGTACCAAAAACAATTGTGTTACAGTACTATGATACTGTACTGATATCTTCAGACTTTGTTCTTTACTTTATCCGTCGTTATATGTAGAAAATATTACGTTTTCTCCGTAATGTTGTTTCCATAACAACAACAACTTCCTGTCGACTGTCCTTCAAAATAATATATTATATCCTTTTTAGTTTCACAGAACACAAATTGGGTTATTTACATAATATATTTACAATAAAACAGCAATAAAACAACCCGATGGACACACGATAAAGGAAATGTTCAAATTCGGCTGTGATCGTAGCAACATCGGGCCATTCGTGAGGGCATCTTAAGCCATCGTATGACCGCCGGTGGAGTTTCTCAGGCTCCGGCAGCAACTTCGTGAGCGGTGGCAAAATCTTTGGCATGCCAAAAAATTGCCGAAGGACCTTGCGAAGGTTAATTTTCGTGTTGAATTCGTGTGTCAATTGTGCCCTTCGTAAGGCCATCGTGAGGGCATCTTGTTATCATTGGTGCCATCGGGCATTCGCCCCGATCAGAGTGAGGGTGAATGCACCGATAACACGAAGATGACACGATTTGACAAGATGCCCTCACGAGTGCCTTACGAAGTTGCCGCTCACGAAGTTGCTGCCGGAGCCTGAGAAACTCCACCGGCGGTCATACGATGGCTTAAGATGCCCTCACGAATGGCCCGATGTTGCTACGATCACAGCCGAATTTGAACATTTCCTTTATCGTGTGTCCATCGGGTGTCAATTTCGGGACAGTGTGACAGGGCCTTTAAGGATGCTGTGTATTTATAGAAAATAGCAACACATTTATTACACAGATTCAACACTGTTTGTGGCGTTTAGGGTCTGGGTTGCATCGTACTAAAGCGAAGCAGAGGTCGATAGACAGATGAACATGTTTTTTTGCATTCTTTCTTTCAAGGTTGTAAAAATTACTTTCAGGATATTTCAATGATCCCCCATTGTAACCCGAATGGAATGATCCTTTGTTTTATAACCATGTTTTCCCATAAATGCAGTGTCTGTGGTTTTAATTAACAGAAACAACACAAAAACGAAAAATAGATAGGCACAAGTTAAAACAAATTTTGTATGAATATATTTTTTTCAAGTAGATACAAAATGCTTATGTATTCATAACTTGTCTAATTCTCAGTTTTTTGTTGTGACCTTGCGAACTCCAGAGGAAAAGAGAAAAAGCCGAGATCAAAGGCTCCGACTGCTTAAAATCTGACTTTGGGTTTCCTCCATGCGGCTTTACTCAGATCACAGGAGCTTTTTGTCTTCTCTGCTTGCCTCAAAATGTTATCTCACTAACACACACACATATGCAAAATAACAGACACACACAAACACAATGTAATCTTCAGGCAGAAATTGGGACAGGACATAATAGACATAAATTGCTGAGGCAGGGAAACCTTAAAGTGACAGGGTACACGTAGCTGGTATGCTGCTTTTTTGTTAGTTTTAGAGCTTGGGTACTGGTGCTTAACACAAATAGTGACAGCTTAGGCCAAAAATAACATGACTTTATGTCCTCTTACCATAACGAGACAATTGATAAATAGCCTGGTGAGTTTAAAGTGATGTATTTTGGGCTAAATAACTTGTCAACATCGGTTTTATATAAGAATACAAAAAGAAAAACAAGTGTCAATTCATAATAGATTAATTATTCAAAGAGAAGGTTAATATTAACAATTACCATGCCCTCTACAAAATCTCTTCTGTGACACTAATGGGACAAAACAATTGCAAATTTCCGCTGACATTTTAAAACAGCAAGTGATATTGACACCAACTGTTTGACTGTACACAACAAAAAGAAAAGACCTCCAGGTTTCTCAACGGGCCTCTTGTTTTCTTTATCTACTGCCAATTGTATTTACAGAGCACCTAGCAAATAAACTAGCCAGCAGATAGCCAATGACCATTAAGAAATGGACTAAAGTTCTCAATTAGACGACCTTTGACCCTGTTTACTACCTATTAGGACCAATATTCCAGGAAAAAGGTCTGGTAGTTTTCCCAAAAGCTGCGTCGAGGCACTGAAATGTGATTACAGCTCTAGATCGACAGGAGAGATCCTATACTGGCTGCCTCATAACGGCTTATTGATCCAACACACACACACACACACACACACACACACACACACACACACACACACGAACACGTTTGCTTGTGCACACACACACACACGTTTGCCTTTGCACACACACACACACACACACACACACACACACACACACACACACACACGCACACACACACACACATTTGCCTTTGCACACACACACACACACACACACACACACACACACACACACACACACACACACACACACACACACACACACACACACACACACACACACACACACACACACACACACACACACACACACACACACACACACACACACACACACACACACACACACACACACACACACACACACACACACACATCGACAAACAGAGCCAAAAGTCAAATTATGGAGCAAATGAAACCTTTTCTATTCAAGGCCAGGGCTGAGTGGAAGATCGAACACTCTTTTCTGTCAAAGAGGGTTTTCAAAAACACTTTATAGGTTACAACCAGCTGTGCAGTACATACATAGCACACACACATAAACAAGGGGGGGCTCAATTGCCATAAAATGAACAGTATCATCTGGAAATGTCTGCAAATGCTCAGATACACATGTCACACATACACACACACACACACACACACACACACACGCTTCATTGGCTCTGAGGGTGATTAGTTTCAGGGTTAACTGTGTCACCGCCATGAGCGATTGAGGGGAAACTGAAGCATATTCACACTTGGCTGCATCATTTTCAATGGACCAGAGTGAGCATGCCCACCCCCAAATATTTTCATTCTTAACCTCCATCATGCCTTTTCCTTCTCCAATTTATTTCCCCCGATACATTCTCTCTCTGTAATTGAACTCTGACTGATATCTCAAAGTGGTCTATTAATGGAGATTGCAGATGATCCTCCCCCCCCCCCCCCCCCCCCCCCCCCCATTTCGCGTTTCTAGGTCACATACTCTGACATAAAGCTAATGTTCTGAGCCGTGTCACTTATGATGAGTCTCTCCATCTCAGCCAACTCACCTCTTCATACTTCCAACGCTCTTTCTCATTCATCCTTTTGTGTTAATTTCCGGTCAGGAATGGGGTTTTGAGAGTAAGTGAACAGATAGGAGGAGAGAAAAAAATGTAATCTGGCTAAAATGACATTCAGTACCAAGCACTCATTAGAGCCACAGTCACGAAACAGGAAGTGTTTGAAAAAGAGGACAAAAAAGTGTCTTTGTGCCTGTTTATCCTTGTGTCTGTTCAATACATAAATATATAAATTGTGTGTGTGTGTTTGAAAAGCTGGCCAAATATGTGTGTGTGTCTTTCCGTGTGTGTTGCGTGCTTGTCAGCTGTTGGCATGTCTTTGTTTGGGCAGATTTAATTCCCAGCCGCATGGCTTCGGCTCATTATTCATCGGGCGTAGTGCTCCAAACCTCTCCAGAGGGCTCAGCATGCTGGGAGATTAAACAACGCAAATGAGCACGCACACACTGCATTTACAAAACTGTGTAAACACATACACACACAAGGAAACTCTGAAATCACACACATCCACCACATTATCAAAGCGTTGGTACGCGCATTTACACACAAACACGGAAAGATATGTCAAACTACTTCAATCTGCCACAATGGCTATTGAGAAATGTACAATATTGTTCAACATATACAATAATGTTTAACTAGCTTTTTGGAAATCTCTGATGCCTGGTTCTGGAGCTTTTACCCTCTTTCTCCTCCCCTTCCCCCCGTTTATAGCTCTTTTTATCTCCCCCCATCGAACTCAGCCGCACACACCCCCTAATGGACTGTGTCCGTGTGCTCAGAGTTGGCTAAGCGTGCACTCAGAATTAGTGCTGTGGCATTACTTAATGCCTCAAAAGTCACATGTAATCACATGCATTCCAGCACATGGAATCTTAAAGACAAAGCCCCATAGTGAAGTCACGCACACACACATCTGTGTACAGCCGGCCTGCCCATTCAGTATGTTTGCCCTCCCAGGAGAAATCAGCGTTATTATTATCAATGTGTAGGCCATGGATGTATATTAAAAGTTAAGCAGGCCCCAACAGATTTAAAATGTAAGCTGATGTGAAGAAAAGAAACTCAATGTGTGTGAATGTGAGATGGTGGTCACATTACAATCATGTCAGAATAATGCAGGTCTTTAAACTAACTTTGTGTGTGTACATCTGGTGGTCAGCCCTGATCGACACAGGCAGAAGAGGATATTTTTTCTGCACAATTCATCCTCAAAATAAACATGCGTGTTGGGGTAACTTACACATCTCCATTTTTCAATCATTGAGACATGTTTTTTGCATGCAAGTGTGTCGCCATAATGCATAAAAAAGCATAACAATAGCACAGTTCCAGGTAGCCTAGATGTTCATGTTGTTACAACGATATCCCTCTGCTGGGACAAAACCGCGCCAATATATTGGCAATGCCCCGGAAAATTGCGTTTTTATTTCTTAAATGCGAAGTTATGTCTTTAACTATGTGGTTTTCAGGTCAGTGAAATTCAAGACGCACATTCTGTATGTTACGTATAGATTCAGTGGTTCCCAACCTGGGTGGCGCCAAAGATCGCAGGGGGGGTGCCAGGCCTCAGATGATTTGAGGCCAAATATCATATTGAGACTTTTTTTTTTTTTATACATATAATTGTAAAAGCCTTGTCTCTACATTACAATAAAATATAAAAAATAATTGATTGATTCATTTGAATAAAAATTGAAGTTAGTAGCTATTAAAGGCATAAAAAGACAGAAATGTATAATTGTTTCTTTAATAGAAATGTTTCTTCTGCCATTGTCCATTCTAAAGTGTCCAAACCAGGCTTTTCTGGATAAGCGCATTTTTAAAACATAGTCATTGTCCATGCCGGTTTCAGTTGGATTATTTATCACAGTTGCTCCGATCAGATCGGTCTCCTCCATTTTGTAGATTATTTACGACTTTTGAATCCACATAAACACATCGGCAAAATCCGGCTTACTTTGAGCATGTGTTTTAAACAGTTTAATCCCTTTGTGAATTGTTTCCACTTCCGCGCCGTCCTTTAATTTCTTCATACAGCGGGAATCCAAATGAATTAATCCTGAGTCCAATAACCATCAAAGTCACTCCAATAGTGCTCCTTAATTACGCTTTCATCCTCCTTTAACAAAATACTTCACATTCACCCAGTTTGTGACAGTAGTTGTTGCATTTTTGAGACTTTTAAACTTTAATTACCGCTGTTGCACGCGCCCGCCCCCCCCCTAGTGTGTGTGTGGGGGGGGCGCAACTTCCAACAGGAGTCATTTGGGGGGGCCCTTGGGAAAAAAGGTTGGGAACCCCTGGATTGGGAGATATGCTTGTAGTTAATCACCAACATCAATAAAATCATGTGCCCGTGACACCTATTATTTTTACCGTGGGACTGCCCTCTCTAATCAAATGCCCCCCCATGGATTTAGGCAAGGCAAGTGTATTTATATAGCACTTTATAACACAAGGCAATTCAAAGTGCTTTACAAAAATGAAAGACTTTAAGAGCATTAAGAAATAGGTCTTCCGCCGGATCACAGTAATAGAGTTATCAGAGGCGTCACTTACACTGGAAGTAAAGTTCCTCGTCGCCCTCTTGAGAAGCCTTGCTGTAGCCGCATTGTCTGTGAAAGGAAACAAAGAAAGCCGTCAGACAGTGTTTTATTCCCGTTGGCAGACACAAACAAATATAAGCATCAGACCCTGTTTATCTTGCATCGTAACAGATCATATGGGATGTGCAAGAACTGTGAGATGAGAGAAAGCGTTGACGTTGGAGATGGAAAGGATTCAGAGACGCATTCAGAGAGACCCCTGATGCCACGGCACTGATGAGCAGCAGAGGGATCTGAGGCTGAATAAGTGGAAATCCTGCCTGATTTGACTGAGCGAGTCACAGATACACACCGATAGGCCGCGAATAGATACTCTATTGTTGTTTCACTCCGATGGTCTTTTTAAGAAAAAGATGAAAAGACACTTGCGTGGGCCACGGTGCTTTATACACATATGTGCACACACTGTTATCTCTCAACCTCTGTCCCCACATGGGGTCCTGAGAGGAACGAGCTCTATGATCTGACTGCTGATGGCTTTTTAGCTTAGAGGACAACTTGGCTCTCACAAGCACGCACACACAATCCATAAGAACACACGGATACTGTAAGTGAGAGATTAACAAGTGATAAACAGACATTCTGGATGGCCATGCTTACTTTGGATTAGAGTGAGGGATGAAAAACAAGACTCAAGCCAAGGAATAGAAGAAAAAGTGTCTTGGTATATCAGAGGTTCATCTCTCAACAATGTGCTCCAATATGTTATGTATACAACCCAGACATATATGAAAATACAAGGTCAAAAACACTTTGGGACTGGTCTTCCAGCATCTGAGGAACTCTTTGCAACCTTGAGTTTAAATAGTGTGGCGTGTATGATGTGTTTTTATATCTGAAAGCATCAAGTAAGCAAGTGAATCTGAATCATCCTTTTTCGGGCTGCTCACCATGTTTCAGGGATTATAGGCCAAGGTGTCTGTACACAGTGAGTTCAATGTGTGACGTTGTATAAATAGACGTGGATGTGTGTGTGTGAGAGAGGCATAATATCTGCTCAGGGTGCCATGCTTTGATACAAATGTCAGAACACATCAGCACTTCACACAAAAAACCGGCGCACAGCTGCCATGAAGTTCACAGAGAGCCTGTAGAGTGGATGTGTGCGTCTTCATGTGCACGTTAGTACGTATATACATGTGTACGCGCGGAGGCTCGCGTGCTAGTTTTTGTTTTGTGGTGCTTTTGCATGCGAGTGTTTGCATGGGGAGATGTGTTAGAGGCGGAGGCCGACACGTCCCTCAGCCTGTGCAGCAGCAGGGTCTGAGACAAGGTCAGGACCCTGTCTGTCAAAACACACCAGCAGACACATGCAGCACAGACCCTCAGGGCAGGAGATACCAGACAGGGGAGGGGAGACAAGAATGGATAGATAAGGGAGCACAGCGCAATGGGAGCGAGGGGGGGGAGAGATGAGGACCGAGGGCATGGTGGTACCAGGAGAAACAAGATGCAAGAGACCTGAGGCGGGGGGGGAAAGGGAGGTAAGGGAGCAAACAGTTAGCATGACAAGAGGGTGAGGGCAAAGCAGGGGATAAATCATTGAGAAAAAAGAGCGAGGAAGTCGGGAGGCAGAGGAAGTGACAGGAAAATAGGAGGTTACGGATAAGAGGGTAATTGGGCAGAAGGGTATGCAAGGAAGGAGAAATAGTTGAAGAGGCTCACAGAATAGCCCATAAAGCACGCGGTAGGGGGCAGAGGAAGAGGCATAGAGAGCAAGAAAGGATATTAGTGAGGAGTGCAGTCGAAAAAAAAGGGTTCTTGAGATTAAGGGAGCAAGGCAGTGGTGGGAAACTGCAGCTAGGACATACAGCAGGATGTAGTGGCAGAATGACAATCGAGCAAAATAGCAGAAGTTCAGAAATAAAAGATTTAAGTGGAAGTCAAGTTATATGAGGGACGTGAGGAAACAAGGAGGCATTAAGCCATGGGAAAAAGGGAATAAGGAAGAAATAAATAATTGGCAGGGCTGCATGGGGGCAAAGTCGCATGACTTCATTTCATTTCCATTACGTTTTTTTAAATGTCACAGATCTGACAAAAATGAAATGGCAGATGCAAAGTAGTTCTTTTTGGAGGGCCTCTTCTTTTTGGATATGTATTCAACGGTAACAATCTCCATCACATTTTCCAGTTCATTTCATACTGTGGTAGAGCACAGAACTGCGGATATGGAGTTGGGCCAAAAAGCTTGTAAAAAAGGGAGGAAAAGGAAGGAACGTATTGTCATACTCGTGGTAAGAGGAAAAGCTTGAGAAAGAAGAATAGGAAGCGTAGAGTAAGAGAAGAGACGGCTGGAAACTGGGAGGAAATGAAAAGAGGAGAAAAAAGGTGGGGGTGGGGGGTAGGGAAGAGGGGGATGCAGGCATGCCAGTGTACCTGGGCATCAGCTGTGTGAAGGGAGGAAGAGGAGAGAGAAGAGGAGGAGGAGGAGGAAGAGTGGAGAAGGAGGTCGAAAGCAGCACCACGCTAGCAGGAGTTACATTGGAGGAGCTCGAGCAGACGCTGCTGGGAAAAAAACAAGGGGGGGCAGGGGGGGGGGGATGCCGATGTCAGTTCTGGCTCTTTTCATTACTTTGAAAAAATCGTCAGTCAACACAACTTTGGAGTGATGAAAAGATTCCTCTCTCCTAAATAGAATCATAGGAATAGGATTGATGCTGCCAAGAAAAACATGCTAAAATGATTAAATAAATATACATGGCTCACCAAAACTATGACACACATTATTTTGAAAATATTGCCTTGTGTTTATTTAATCCTACGCTAAACAGGTTCCAACTTTTAGCTTTTGAATGGAATTATTCACCAATTTTTATTTTTAAATTTCAGACTTCTGAGGCACCAGATGGCAGAAAGAAAGGTTTGGGTGCCAACACACTGAAGACTCTTGCCAAATTCTGTCACTGTCAGATTAGCCTCATCAAATGTTAATTTAAGCACAAAATGTCATCTTAGATTTAGTCGTGGTCCTTTGGTGAGAATTTTAAATTAAAACTGCATTTAATTTGAACGCATAGTGCCTAATGATGGAAAGGAAATATATAGCATTTATAGCATAGTATTTTTACTAGCTGTAAATAGCAATGCAAAAACATAAAGGGTAATGCAAGCCATCTTCTATATTTTTGTAAGCGCCAAAAATTCAAATAAAAATGTGTCGTAATGATTTGGGCCGACAGAATTAGCACTAGCCTTTTCTACTTACAATATGCATTTGAATGGATTTCTCTGCTTTCCAGTTGTGGTTTTCAAGAAAGAACATTAAATCAGAAGAAAGGAGTGTAAATGAGGCCTATTCATTGCCTGCTCTTTCAATTCCATACCTGACTCCTTCTCTAAAATTAAGTGCCGTTATGGAAATAATATGAATAATAGGTGAGACAGCAGGAATAGAATCCTAGATGACAGGCGGAATACAGCAGAGAGGAAAAAAATATATGTAGGGCAAAGAAATAAAAATAAATTGGGGAATTTCATAAAGTTTAATCCATGACTTCAAAGCGGCAGCAACATTGTGTTTTGTTTCATTGTTGGGAGATGCTCCTTGAAAATCAGGATTACTGTGAAACCTACGGAAGCCTTTTCCTCCATTTTCTCGCACAAAAGGTAAAGACGTCTTAGGTTTGTCTTAAGAAATCAATAACCAGATCCTTATTTCAAATAAAGCAATGATTTATTCATTTGCCACTTATGAATATTAAATGTCGGCCCATTTCCAATTCTGATGTAGAGCCCTTTGGAATGACAGGTTTAGCATTTAAATGGAGGATGTCTGTGTCTGCTGATGGAAGGGGGGGGGTCTGTGTGAATCACAAGAGCACTGATCTGTACGAGACACGGAGGAAACTACACCACAGCGCTCGGGACCTTTTCTCTTGGCCGTCCATCTCTCCTCTGTGTGATTTTTTTCCCCTTTCGCATCCCACTTTGTGTCGCCAAGAGTCAACGGCCCTATGAAATGACCCTCTGCTTTACTTCCTGATTCTTTTCTTTCCCCTTGATCTCCTCTCCCGCGGCTGATAACTTGTAACCCGCTCGGGAGACTGAACACACACACTCAATCAGAAGAGAGAGAGAGAGAGAGAGAGAGAGAGAGAGAGAGAGAGAGAGAGAGAGAGAGAGAGAGAGAGAGAGAGAGAGAGAGAGAGAGAGAGAGAGAGAGAGAGAGAGGACACACACACACTCACTCACGAGATGCCAGTGAAGGGAAAACAATCCCCACCACTGACCAGTGAAGCCTGGGCTTCCTGGAGAATGTTTGGGCAATGCCCTGGAACTCTGCCTCTATCAAAGTCGGTCAGGCACCAATGGTGTGTGTGTGTGTGTGTGTGTGTGTGTGTGTGTGTGTGTGTGTGTGTGTGTGTGTGTGGTGTGTGTGTGTGTGTGTGTGTAAGAGATGGTATGAAGTGTCAAGATAAGGTATCAAAGAAAGGAAAATACAAAGTCCTCATTCCTTTTTGTCCAATCATAACTTTCCTCAGTTTCTATTCCCCACAGTGTTCTACTTGAGAGTTCTGAATAACATTTTGACTCTCACTGAAGACCCTGGCAGCGAGGGAAGTCCAGGACACACTGACCATGAAAGCCACATCAGAAGTGCAACGGCATGGCACTTCAACCAGGCAAATAATAGTATGAAGTATTATACAGAATATCCAATTATTTTTGGAAAGCCGCACTGGATGTGTTGTGTGTTAAAACACTTGAAGTCTGATCTAAAGAGCAAATCTCGCAAACAATGGGTTAACAGCAATGTTTGAATAAAATATTGACAATACTGAGATTTTTGCATTGCAAATGTAGACATTTCTATACCCCCAATAACGTTCCATTGCCAAAGTAAAATATACTTAACAAGCTAAGAGGTCAGTATCTCCAGTTGAAGAAGCATTTAAAAAAAATGGCTGCTGGTACTTCTTTGAGTCATAGATTGGCAGAAATACTGCAACATAGGATAGTGGTATGTAATTCTGTACATCACATGCTGTCCCACAGAGAACTAGCGGCATATTAAAGCTAGTGTGTTGGACTACATTGAGGCAGACCCAACCTGCCACTGACATGTCTTGCCATGGAACAGCAGATTTGCTATTTCAATCTCCATATTAACGTGTTCTGTTTCTAAAACAGTGAGATACCTGAAAGACTTGTCACAGGTATTGATTGACATTCTCAGTAGCCATTAGCGCCAAGTGTGTGTTAAATGTCAAATGTCAAACAGGCATTAGTAGCACTGTTGTCGAGGACTTATCGTTACCAGCATTTCCCTAACAGCCAGCAGATTTTACCCTCACATCGGACAGTGATGATGACAACCATGAAGAAATTGTTTTTGAGACCACTGACTATTCTTCAAGCCGGCATTTTTCTGATGAAGTGTGTTTTAATAAAATCTCCAATGCATTCCTTAAGTGAGTGCTGTCGCCTGTGTCCTTCATGTGTGTGCCTTGGGACTCATTTGCATGTGTCTGTGTGAGCGGGCGAATCAATGTAACCGAGACCCCTCCAGCTGTGGCCGGGGGCTGGCTGTCTTTGCAAACAAGAGAACATGGTAATTGAGGCATCAAGCCATTCCCTCTTTGTCTCTATGCAAAACACGACGAGCAAGTTAATGGTCCAGCGGCGATGAACAATGGAGACCACTTTCAATGAATGCAGTGATGCAAATAAAAGGGGAAAAAAGATAATTTTATTATCCATTACTAGGCCATGCACAAGGGAACAACGCTGCTTCCCTCAAAGAAACAATGCAATAAAATACTTATATGTGTGTGGTAAGCATTTCTTTTTGCATATTCTGTGCTTTTCCACCGCAGTCTTTCACATGGATGCAGGTGTGTACATCGATTGCCACATATTTCTCGATAGATGTTTGACAGACAGCATTTTTACGGTGCTTCTGGGAGTGAATATAACGCATTTTTACACTTGGTTGACTTCCTCATTGGACTGTATGGGTCTATGTCAAGGTCTGATGGTTTCTATATCACAGAGGTACCACGGAAATAGGTCTACTTTGCTTTATCCGGATGAGAGATGGCAGCGATGTTGATCAGTGTGTGTAGAAAACGGAACAAGATAAAGCACACACACAATGCAAACAAATGCTTTCACAATGCCGCCCAAATTGAAACGAAAAAAAGGTTTCTAGACATGTTTGTGTGCTTGCATGTGTGATGGAGTGTACACTTTAAATTCTGTAAGTGTGCTATCTGCGTGGGTGTGTGTGAGCCGGCTGGCAGAATATAGAATTGGACGGGAGTCAAAGAGCAAAGTGTTTGCAACAGCAAGAAGAAATGCACTCTCTTTATCTGCGAAACTGAATAAAACATGCAAGTGTATGTCATGATATACTCAGTGCGGTAAACAAGACAATAAAACATGCATTAATGTGCCTGAGATTCAAAGAAATGGCAGCATTGAATTGAGACGTTAAGTATCCTGCCTCATGCTGTCTATTGTTTGTAGTTATGCTTCTTTTAAGGTCTGTTGTTGTTAACGTTTTATTGTTTACTGACTGTTTTTATGGTCTTTTTATACTTTTGTATTCTTGTAAAGCACTTTGTGATTTTGTTTTATATGTGATGCTATACTAATTTAAAATTCCTTTCTTACTTCCAGTCTAATAGACTAATAAACCTCAAACACCAATTCATTAATGTGAAACCTAATGCTAAAACTGAAATAAACTACATTTAATATGTAATGTTTGTCTGTATCGTCTTTAGTATTGTACCGGACCATTACCTGACTGCAAGATAGCCCCCAAAAACTAACTTAAAGTAGTTCAACATGGGTTAGAATCGTTAGATGTAGTGGTGTAAAGTATCTTAAGGAAGATTTACTCTAGTACTGTACAAGTTTGAGGTACTTTACTTGCGTATTCCCATGTTATGCTACTTTGTACTTCTACTCCACTACAATTCTAAGGTAAATTGTGTACTTTTACTCCACTCCATTTATTTAGTACCTCTAGTTACTTTACAGATGTGGATGAATGATGTGAAATATAATCAACTCTTAAATCAGACGTTAGTTCCAACTGGAGTAAATCCACAAGCTACCCTGCAGTATACAAAGTCATTCAAACTAGCTGCACCTTTACCAGCTTTGAGAACACTTTAATGATCAATCATTATAATCAAAACATATAATACATATTATTCTGAAATGGACCAATCGCATATCTACTTTTGATACTTTAAGTATATTTTGATGCTAACACGTTTGTACTTTTACTTGTGTAACATTTTGAATGCAAGACTTTTACTTTTTACACTCTGGTACTTCTACTTTTACTAAAGAACACGATCTGAATACTTCCTCCACCCCTGGTTAAATGTTGTAGCTAATGCTACTACCAGAGAAGAATCCAATATTTTGTAGCTATTTCACTTTCATACAGTAAGTTCTGGCCTGGTAGGTTCAAAAGCGCACTCTTACAAACCAACCACAATTTGGTTTTGATCAGAATTGCAGACAAAAAGCCGATATTTATTGTGAATGTGTAGCAATGTTCTCTAGTGATCTCATTTCTAAATATCTACTCAAATTAAAGTGTACTAAGCATCCACTTTAAATAAGAAATAAAGCTTCTTACAGTGCTTGCTGCAGTCTGAAAGCTCTTTTCCTTCAGCCACATTTAAAGAATCTTGATGTAATTAAACGGAGCTGTATGTTGTCAGTCAGTCATTTTGACTACAGGATGTCCAACTATTTGCTTCAACTCAATGCTTTCTTTAGATGTCTCTATGTTTCGTAATAGTCTTATCAAGACATAGTGAAACAATGACTTTGGACTGTTCACTCTAATTATAAAAAGCACAACAGAGTTTCAGAGTAAACGGTGTGTCAGCAGTTATAAGTGACACCGCTTTAACCTCTCTCTTGTCTTCTTGGCTGTTTCACAATTCCCAATTCTCTATGTGAAAACTAATTAGATAGCAAAGAACTATGAAGTACCAGCCAAGAAAATGATCAAAGAAGGTTTTAACCCTGCTAGCGTTCCCCCCTCGACGCAGACTGCACCATTATCCGGCTGATTTCTTTATGTAGCATATTAAACAAAGTGGCTATCATGTCATTTCAGCTATTCTCCCGCCATTGCTGCACACTCCTCTCACAAAGAAACTTCCTCTGTCGCTGGATGACTGTAATCTGGATTATAATGGAGTATCGTGTGACAGTTGTCTCAATACGCGATTGAGGCTTTGATTGAGTGTTTGTACACATGTGCGTGTGAATGTATGTTTGTGTAGCATGCTCTGGGTATTCAAATCATATGGAGCCTATAGTGGATAATACATGTTTAGCATCTGTGTGTACATTCATACCTCTTCCAGATGAGCAGACCGACCCCCATGGAGAGCAGCATGATGAGGGCGGCCACGGACACCACCACGATGATCACCACTGGATTCTGTTCGCTGGACGCCAGTGCCACTAGTAAGAAAACACACTGATTACACACGTGAACAATAACACGAAGCTTAACTGGAATGGGTGTGTAGCTAGAACATTAACAGGAGATGAGATTAAATAACAAAGCCATGACCTACAACGCCCAATCCATTCCATAGGCAGTTGATCATAGTGGATTGTAAACTGCTTTTCAGTATTTTTCAAAGCTATGACTTCACCCCCCCCCTAACCCTAATACCAAACTTGAACCTCTTATTGTATTTTACACTGTTTGAAAAGCATTTACAAACAAACTGCTTCCCTAAAAGGAGCATAGATAATATGCGCCATCTGGTTCAGTCCTGTTTCAATAATATTACATTATTTTCATTCTCTGATGAAGTTTGGAAAGTTTTCCAGCTGTATTATAATTGTAGATTTTCACATTTCCATGTTTTTAATAATCAATTTGAGGACTTGTTGTCCATGTTGGAAGTTTTAAAAAGTTTCCAAGTGCAAAGCCAATCCCCCTAGACACAATGATTGTATTATTTATTCATTCAAATTCAGTTTGTTGTTGACCTAGTAATCGCTTGTATAATTATGAAATGAATGCTGTTTCCAAGCTCCAAAATGGACAGATCTGCCATTCTTACTATCCTGGAATGCAGCCCAGCATGTAGTAGCCGGTAATAAAACACACATTTGAACACCTGAATGCAAACACTCACAGAATAACATCTCCCCCTCAGTATTGTAGCATTGCACCTGCCAGTCTTTATTGTTTGGTTACAATCAACCAACAAATATTTAACATTGACAAGTAAAAGTCACGTTCATGTGATCCTAATATTCAGTGTGCTGTTGCTGCCTTGTGGGTGTGGGTGTCAGGTCACTCATTTGACTCTTGATCCAGCCCGAGGCGAATAAAGCAAACTGAATATGCATGGTCCAAACAAAAGGAGCCCTGCAGCTAAGAGCCCTGACCCTGTAGCAAAACTAAGAAGTGCAAGACCCTGTTCGCTTGAAAACAAATAAATTATCTTTAAGAGCCGGTCTTTGGCCAACTGTTGAAGATAGTGGTTGTGAGGGCAGCTCTCGGGTGAGTTACGCTGTGAATGTTCAACAAATCCCCGTTCCTGGGTAAATAAAAGGTGAAATAATTTATGAGAAGCAATAGGGATAAAACCCACATCGACACACACACACCCTGAGGTGACCTGGGACACGGTATCTACTCGCACAAAGAAGAATCATTTCACAGCTAATTGGTAAAATCGTGCGTGTTCACTCAGAATCTCAGACATTCTCCGTCTCTGCTTATCTCTCACTCTAGTCTTATTGTGTGGGCTGGCCAGGTGCCTTCACAATCCCCCGCCCCCCCCCCCCCATCCCAATCTGCCTGGTGGTGCTGAGACGAGGGGGTGCAGAAAGTGAGGAGGCGTAAAACGGGCTACTCACACTCGCCAAGTGTCTGCAGCTCCAGGGGGGCGCTGTACGCTCCGTAGTCGATGGGCGCCGGAGAGGAGGAGGACGACGATGAGGAAGATGATGAAGAAGTTGCGGAGGACGAAGAGGCGGAGGATGACAGAGGGGAGGAGGACAGGGACGAGGAGGGGGCCGGCGTGGAGAACGGGCGGATGAGGAAGACATATGTGGTGCCGGGTTTGAGGTTGTTGACACTGATCCGTGTGGCGGCTGTCTTCACAGTAGAATAACTCTGATCCTTTTGTTCCTGCGGAGACACAAAGTGAAGTGAGAGACAACGAAAAACAAAGAAAACAGGGGGAAAAGGAGTGAGACGAGTAGGTGGAATCCATTTGTGAGATGCCTTGTTCATTTCCATGGCACAGTAACGCCTGGGGCCTTGCGAGACTGTTTTGTAACCAAATCAAGTGCTTTTGAACAGTTTTTTCAAAGTACCAGACAAAGGTTTTCAAACATTTAGCCAAGCCAAGCTGAGAACTTCATTAACCAGCTTTAATAAAGAAGTGTGCGCTTTGAAAATAACTGATGAGAAAACCCAGACATTAATAAAAAACACTATTCCTTAGAGAGGCGCTGAGAAAATAAATCAAAGATGGTGCTAATTGCTTTATCTCCGTTACAATGACTCACATAGGTGACACTGGGGGCAGTGCGTAGGTGACACATTAACATCATTACTCCACTTGTTGTCCGATATGTTTGTTTCCAGCCTTCTTTAAAAAAATAGTCCTTATTGTATCTCTGCACACCGTGCCTCTGCATGTCAACGAGATCACTCTAATCGACATCGAGCCTCTGTTACAGCTGTGATGATAAATCTGATTTAATAGTCACGGTAAAATAAGAGAAAGGGAGTTTTCGAGTGGGCACAATGCTACTTACATTATCGTTATTGCCTTTTTATTTGAATGCGAGAGAGTAGCATTGCACAAAGAGGGTAGAACGAAGTGGAACTAACGTCAGGGGGAATGAAATAAAGACAGATTAACCGGAGAGAATGGCAGCTCATGTTTAATGTGGAATGAGCTAATATAGTATGTGACACAGAGAAGAGGAACAAAGCAGAAAAGATAAGTGGTGGGGGGAAAACAACAGCAGAGTCAGCGATGACACTCAGAAATGTCAAATTATGAATGTTATTTAATCCTTATGAATCATCACAATTGTCGGCCATTATTGCTGTAAATGCAGTGTGTAATCCAGATAGAACGCTTTTTTTTAAATAAGTTACAGTGTTATTGAATGTTTAACAGCTCTATGGCTCATCGCTTTAAAACTGCAAAAGGAGGAAGAGACAAAAAGGCTGTATCCTGACTAAGCAAAGCCATATTTCATACTGTAATAGGATATTTGGTGCAGTGTACTGTAGTTGTATTGCCTTTTCATTTCATGGCCTGCCACCAATTTTCCTGTCTAACTCTTATTCTTCATCTATCCTTCACCCTCTCTTTTTTTCTGCCTCCCTCAGAGGTATTTTCTTCTGCATCAAGCCCCACAAAGCATCTTCTTTCATTTCTTTCCATCCCTGTGCTCTGACAAGCATCTTTCCACCCCTCATCTGTCCCTAATACGCTCTCTAACCTTTTATCTCCCTCGGTTATCACACAGGCACCTCATTCTTTCCAAATCCTCTCCTGTTTTGTTATCTCTTTCCTCAAGTCTCTCCTCACCCATCTCTTTCCTCAAGTCTCTCCTCACCCATCCCTCCTCTCAATATTTCCCTCTTTTTTTTCGAAATCTGTGGGAGTGAAGCAGTGAGAAACAGGGCTTTATTAAATATGGTGAAGCATAGAGAAGAGAGGGAGGTGAGAAAATGGGTGCGAGTGTAACACAGCCTAATACAAAGGCCTGGAGTTGCCAATAAACGTGGCGTATGAAAATGGAGGAGTGTTAGCGTGACAGCTGTGGTTTACGTGCATGACAGATTTACTGTGAAGACTAAGGCTTGTCGACGGGGCGGCCACAATCTGACTAAGTGCTATGTTAAATGAGCCAGATAAGGCCGATGAAATTACAGTGTTTATCCATAAAAGCAAAAGAAAATGTGGCAGTAATATGGACTCAGGGTAATACATAATTGGCCCTTGAAATACATCATTTTTTACAACAACTCAGTAGTTAGAAATTAAAGAGAATAATTTGATCGTGTGGAAAGTGTTGTAAAGATACCACATCTCATTTTCTCCGTCCTCATTTCAACATGAATACATTAACAATAACTAAGCTTTCTGGCACACTAGCATGGTACCCCAAAGCATATAAAACATGAAGATGTTGGTGTTTGCTGTAGCCATGGATACCAACTGGAACCCAAGTGATACTAGATTTGTGAGGTTGTTTTGGATATTAATAATAAAGAGATGTAAAACAAAGCTAATACTCATATTGGCTTTTAAAAAGGACACTTTACATAAAGATAAACCTTAATGCTATTCAACAAAACAGAAGCCTTTGGTTGAAAGAAGCAAGCATTTCGGAGGGAATGAGAAGTCTAATCAAAGGCGATGCATTATGGGAAATGTAGGATTTGGTACATACAGACAGGGTTTCTGAACTGCAGGTTCTTATTTCATGGTGATCCCTGTATGCACCAATACGGTTAAATCTGCAATAAGATAACACCACAATGTACAATTTGTGTTCTTATACAAAATGGATAAAACCCCAAAACATAATCCCTTAACTTGTATATGTCTTTATTTCTTCCCTCTGTTTAGTTGCTGGATTCTAACACATGAGTGTGAAGAAAAATGGTTTACTGGATATCGAAGTTTTGGTTAGTTATTTAGCAGAACAGCAGTAGAAAAAGACTGAGATGCATCAGTTTATTTACCTTCTCGTAGTATTTGACCTCGTACTCGGTGCGGCTGCTGTTTGGGTAGGAGGGCTGCCTCCACACCAGGGTGAGGCCCTTCTGCTCGATCTTCTCCGCTCGCAGCTCGCTGATCAGAGAGGGCGCTACAAAGAGGCAAAAAAGAGGGAGAGAAAGAAGAAACATGAAGCCGGGGATTTTGGTCTCATTCAATATAAATACAATAGCTTGAAGAGTGTTCTCAGAAGCAGTCTTTACTCGCTTGTATTTCCAGTTTTTCTTGAAGGCAAAGGTCCAGAGAGGGATACAGTACCGTTCTGAAGATTAGTCTTACAAGGAGGAATCGCCAGAAAGCAGGCATCGACATATATCTATACAGTGTGCCCTATGGTATTCATCTGAGGTGAGACAGCAAAAGAAAAAGAGAGCAAATAGGGATTGAGGGCATAAGAGGAGTTGGGGAAGTCCAACATGATGTAAGGAGAGGGTTTACAAAATATAAAGCAGAGAGGCACGATTATTTATTGAAAAGGAGCTGTGTCAGAGCAGACAGCTTTATCGCAATCCATGAATGGCGGACGTTTCTTTGTCTAAGTAGCATTGAACAGTGCTCGGTACATTGGGACTGACAATGGATCAATACAGTTATGGATTGACTGACAAGACATTATCGACACCAGACTGACGGATGGAGATATTCGCAATCCGGAGTCCCTGTTTTCCTCCCCATGTCTCTCAATTTTTCAGACTCAATCCAGGAGAGCCGCAGTGAAATTCATCCTGACAGATATTACATCTCTTATTGATCACAATAGAGGAACAAAAGAGAAAATGAATGATACAGGACAAAGCTTTCCAAATGTAGACGCAGTGTGTAATGGTTCGCTAAGCAAACAATTTCATAACTGAGGAAAGCCCAGTTCTTTGTTTCTCTGTCAACATATGACAGGCGTCGCGTAGTTTGATAAAAGGCAAGCACCACCCACTCTTGCTTAAGTGCTAATTAGGCCATGTATAATGAAGTAGCAAAATGGGTTGTCACTCAAAAATACTTAGAAAATAAAGTGGTTCAGATATTTTAGTCAAAAGGCCTTTGTTGGGGAGGAGCCCTTGGCCATTTAGGCTTTGGAAGGGTTAAGTTTCCTGTCATCGCTTTGGTCCTTGAGGATAATTATTTCTGTTTTTGTACTTACTTTAACGCCTTTAAAAAGGACAATGGCTGCGGGACTTTCTTCGTCATTGAAGTCCATTTTCCTTTTTCTGTCCCTGGACCACTTTCTGCTTTGTTTTCATTCCATCCCTTTTCATTCTCCTGTCTATCACCCAATCAGTCGACGGCTCATCTTTCTTGCCATTTCTCACTTCCTGCTCATCTCTTTCTTGACCTTTAACCATCAATTCATCTCTTTCCCCGGTGAAAACAGCCACACTAATGAATAACTTCTGCCTGTCACTCACAGAACAAAACGATGTGCTCACACACACATTTAAACACACAGCATCTGCAGCTCCTTCAGTCCTTCTCTGGAACAGTAGGGTAAATTAGTCCTTTTAGGCAGCAGATCAAAGACACACTCGATCCGCCTCTCACTGTCCATCTCCATCTGTCTGTTTTTGATGTCTAAAACACAGTTATTATCTATTATTCATGGAGACACTCTGAATGTGTGTGTTATTGCTTCTACCATTGTATTTAATGTCCGTCCAATCAGGCTGAATGAAAAAGGAAGAACTGACTGAATTTTGTTTCTGGTGTAAAACAGCAAATTCAGAATAATTTAGTTTAGCCATATTATGCTTACTTAGGTTTTCCCTTTCCTGTAGTATATTATATTGGTTAATGTGTTTTTTAAGGATCTGCAAAGGCTCACATCCCAAAGTTTCTCTCACACACTCCCCCCTGCTGAAACTCCTTGATTTGAATCCTATGTTTAATTCCGCCACATAGTGACATCACTAAGTAACAATCGTGCTTCTATTGGCTAGTGCTCCAACACATTGTACGTGATAGGCTTATAACAATCAGAACAGAGCCGGCCAGCTAACCAATCAGAGCAGACTTGGCTCTGGTTTCAGAGAGAGGGTGAAAAGAGGTGCTGCAGTATGTAGTATATTAACCTGAAAATGAGCATAGGGCCCCTTTAATAATTCAATATGACATTTTATACAGTGAGCATTTAGAAATGATTATGTAATTTCTGTTCAGGCTCATTTTTATACTGATTTTGTAAATAACATTAGCATTCTATATCGGCACAATATGCCTGATTAGAAGTCCCTAAAGAACCTCACAAGTTGCACACTTTTCTTGTGCTTTGTTCGGCATTTCTCTCATCTTTGACAAGACACGAAGACTAAAGTATAGATGAAATAGATAAAATAAACATAAAGTGAGATTATAATATATGTTGTAATGATGCATAAAATATACCCACTGTAATGTTTGTGCTGCAGTACTATTTCTATTGGCTGAATGTAAAGATATGGAAATACATAAATACATATTCAGTGTGTGTTCAGTAAACGCTAATCATGCCAATTAGTGGCTCTCTGAAAGTTGGACTACTTTGCTATGAGGAATCAAGTCTTTGTAATTCCTCCACATAATGAAACATAAGCGGCAGATACAGTTAGCCGCAGGGGGGGAGGGGTTGTAGAAAAGAAAGGCATTGAACGAGAAGGAAAGTTGCTAAGGAACAGTAAACAGGAATGTAAATAAACACTCAGAGGGATTATTTTCAATGAATATGTACAGGCATTTATTATATAATGTAGAGGAAATAGACTACAGCATGGCTCATTAGAAAATAAAGCAATTACTGAGAAACAGGGAGAAAAGGAGGATATGTAAAGTGCAGAGTAGAGATGGGCAGGTGTTTAAGGACAAACATAAAAACAAAGTGTCAAAGTCCTTGCAATCCAAACGGTGAAAAGAGAAACTCAGTTTAACACTCGACCATGAACACAGTGTAAACCGGCTCTCTGCATCTACAGGCTATGTTTGCTTCTTTTCCCCCTTCCTTGTGTCCTGAATTATGCATAGGACTGGCGCCTGCCTCCAATCCAAGTCACATCACAGCTGACACTTAAAAAACAGGTGAGCACAATTTCTCTGCCGACACACACACACATTTTTATGTCGGTTAAACTGATGTTTACATCTCTGTGGATGAAGTGCGACAGTGTCTGAACTGTAAAAAAAAATGTTAATCTGTTGAGGGATTACTAAAAACGACAGTATGTTTGTATATATTGTATTTGAATGTGTTGGTGTATATGGTACTATATACGATACATGCGCTAATATATATTATACTTTCATATTTAAGTGGAAGTTACCAATCCTTAGGTCTTACCTGCTCTTTTTGACGCTCTTAGACTTTATTTGAATAAATGCCAACCAGAATAATTATTTGTTATCGATAATATCTAAAAAATGTTGCATAGAATGGTGAGAATCTGTTAGGGATCAACTGCAAAATATCAGTATCTATGAGAAATGTGGACACAACTAAGTAGCAATAGTTCCTGTGTGGAAATAATACTTTCCAAGAAACACACACACTCAGCAGGCATATTGGCAGATACTGTGCACCCACACACACAGCACACACTCAAGTGAATGGCAGCAAATGTCCGGTAGTGTTGGTTTTGGCGTTGTATTTGAAAGGAAGACATCAAAGCCGAATGCCTTCAGAAAAATAATTTACACTCACACATGTTCACAAACACACACTATGATTTTCACAAGTAATATAGAAGATGAGATGGCCTAGTGGCCAATAAGCCTTCCCAGCTCTGCTGTGGAAGTACGCAGTGGACGTTTTAAAGCCTCATCATACAGCAGAAATCACATGGCAGACACACTGATAGGCACTTGTCACAAAGACATACAGCTCATGATAGGATCCAAAGCTATGCTGTACACATACCAATCACTGTGAGAGATAATGATCTGTACACTTCAAAGGGAGGCTGTGATGAGAGCCAAAATAAGTAAGGCAGGAGGAAGTATAGCAGATGAAGTTTGGCACAAAATTGCAGAAAGGGAAGCACACAGCTTCTACGCACAGCACAACCTCTCAGTGATTACACTTCTATAGGCTTCTATAAGAAGCAAGGCTGTGTATCATTTAGCTTTTATAGATTCAGACTCTGCTCGTCAGATTCAGTTTTTGTTGAATTCTATCCTTTGTCCGAATCCCAAAGCCAGACAAGTGGAATTTCTGATCCTTTTTTTTTTTTTTAAATGAATGACATTGTATTTTAAGATTATCTTTGGTTTTAAGAAAAACATCCATACTGTATGCTAGTATGCACTAGTTAAACATAAGCAATCTTTCCTGTTGAATGCATATTTAGCTGAATATTTTAAATATATATACTTGTAGTAAAAAGGGTACTTAAAACTTATAACATTAAATTGCTTAATTATAATAGATGGACTTTTTCCCTTTTATAAAAGGTGTTTTCCAGTGATAAAAGTAATAGCAGAATGTTAGTAGTCAATACCAATTCCGGTGAATTCCATGATCTTAGGTTAGATTCCCAATTCAATATCACGTTAAAAAAACTAATTCCATGTACTTCAACACACTTTGTATCCGTTTGTTTTCACTAACAAAACTGGAGTCCAATCAACATTTATTTTTCTTATCTCTCTTTTATAATCTCTATTATTACCGTGACCAAAGGATCATTTTCACAGAATCGGCTTAAACACATCGTAATGTAACAAAATGAAACCTCCATCAACGTTAGCTTTTAGCTCTTTCACTTGGCCCAGCATGACAGCTAACAGCTAAAAGCTAATGCCAACTAGCTTTCCTTGTGCCTATTACAACTTGGATATAATGTTAGCAATGTAGCATTCACAGGGAACGTTTGAGTTTCCCCTGGATGTGTCAATAGTGACTTTACTGCAAGATTATTGTATGCCTCAAGCCCTGATCCCCAGCACCTACTGTAGAAAAAACACCACCAACAGAAGCACAGATTGGTATTAACTTGCTTTCAGTAATTTAATAGGCTAGATTGAAAAGCATGCATCTGATAAATCCTTAGTTTAGTGAAGTGTCATTTCAGAGTTCTCAACTTTTTACCCAGCTGACTCTGGGGGCTGTATGGCAGCTCTATGCTCAGGTCT